TAAATTGGCAATTTATGCACCACTAGATCGACACTCAATCTTGGCATATCATCGTACGACCAAGCAAACACATCTTTAAACTCAAACATAAGTTGAATTATTGCATCCCACGTTTTCTCATAAGTGTGAATGCTTATTTTTGTTTCCCGAATTTCTTCAGAGGTTCCCAAATTAACCGGTTCTGTATCCTTCAAATTCGGCTTAGGTTTATTCTCAAATTGTTCCAGTTCTCGATTTATTTCCCTAAAAACCTCTTCTTCATTATATTCCGGTTCTTGGTTCATTATTTCACAATTAGACAGCATGTTTGGATCTGGGCGTGAAGTCCGCAAACATGTCATGTTATTTAAAGTCGCATTATTATAACTGAAAAGAAGAAATAAAAGAGAAAAAAATCAGAAAGAATAAAGAGAATAAACGATGAAATATTGATTTCATTTCTTGGAATTGGGAAGATAAAAGGGTTTACATTCAGGAATTTAAAGACAGGAAACTTAAAGAACAAACATCCGAGTTACATCCTGTGATAACTCGTGATACAGAAAAAGTGGCAGGATAAGTCTACCCGGACTCCTGCCTGATCGGGAATTGTGTAGCCTTCCAATTTTGGAGTTTAGCATATGGTCCCATGTAGAGCACCTCAGCAGTGCTAGTACCTTCCCCTAGCTGAACCATGTTGGTTTCATAAAGCATTTGCCTCATAGCTCCACATATATCTTCGATTTCTTCGGTCGTGAAGGCCTCATCATCTTCATTCTCGCTGTATTTTGGCTTGACAAAGGTCTGATATAGATGTGGCAATGGCTGTGGCAAGACCCATCCTTCCCTTTTCCTCTCATCTGCCCAATCTTCATCTTCTGGGGTAGGGTTTAAACCTATCCCGAAAAACTTTTCTGTTGTGGGTAGGGTTATTGGCTCCGATATTCCTTGTAGAGCTTTTCCCAATCCTTTTCCTGGCTTGAAACCATTTTTGACCATCTCTTTTGCCACCATGATCGAAGAATTAGATAGGAAAGGTTGGGGGCAAGGGCTCCCTTCTTCATACTGATCCGCCACTACAACTTCGAAAGCCAGATAAACAATGTGTTCACTTCCCTCCCCAGCCTCCAAACATGGGATAGATGGGTCCCAATAAATAGACTGCTCGTCTTCTCCGTGGACCACAATTTTCTGATCTTCATACTCGAACTTTACCATTTGGTGAAGGGTGGAGGGCACAGCCCCCATGACATGGATCCAAGGCCTTCCTAGAAGAAAGTTGTAAGATGTATCCATGTCCAACACTTGGAAGGTCACCTCGAAATCCACCGGGCCTATGGTTAACACCAGATCTATCTCTCCAATGGTATCCCTTTTAATGCCATCAAAGGCTCTTACACAGATGTTATTGGGACGAATCCTTCCAGTCCCGATTTCCATTCTCTGTAGTGTAGAGAGTGGGCAAATGTCAACACCCGAACCCCCATCCACCATTACTCGCTTGACATAAAAACCTTCACACTTGACAGTCAGATGTAAAGCTTTGTTGTGAGATGCTCCCTCTGGAGGCAAATCATTCTTACTAAAGGAAATTTGATTAACAGCAAAGAACCTTTCTGCCATTCTTTCGAGCTGTTCAACTGAAGTCTTAACAGGCACATACGCCTCATTCAGAGTTTTCACTAGGATCTTCTGATGCTCGGCAGATCTCATTAACAAATATAGCATAGACACTTGTTCAGGTTACTTGCATAACTGATACACCACTTCATAATTAGGCATCTTCATTTTCTGGAAGAAAGCCTCTACCTCCTCAGCACTTACAGGCTTCTTGGGTGGAAAGCGCTTCTGTGTGGCATTGTTCACTTCTTGTACATCTGAATATTTCCCAGCGAAGGTATTTCCCGAAAGTTCTCCTGTGATTTCTTTCTCTTTGTATGTAACCAACGTCTGTTGATAATTCCATGGTACCGCAGACGGGTCCGTCATTAGCTTCTGTGGCACGCGTCCGATAACCACTGGCTCATTTAGCCGAGGCGGTTTAATCATCCCCCGGACCACATAGGCTCCTTTTGGCACATACATTGGTGTTCCCTTTTTCACTTCAAATTTCTTTGGAATACCCACGACTAATGGCTTTTCTTGGGGACCTCGCGAAATATAGAAAACCCCATTTTTCGGAGGCGCCATCTCTGCCTTTGTTTCAACCTTCTTTTCAAGTTCAATCTTGACAGTTTTAGTCTTCTTTCCCCCTTTATCCTGCTTCGGGGTTGCTTTAGGCTTTCTTTCTGCATCAGCAATAGCAATTATAGATTTCAAGGCGGGATCAAACTCTTTGTCTTCACAGATCATCCCGATTACCGGCCCGTTGTTATGAGCGGGCAATGGATTATTGGTCACATTCGGGGCTTCTTCATCCCTCAACACTATTTTTCCTTGTTCAATCAAATTTTCCACAGCTTTCTTCAAGGTCCAGCAGTTATCAGTACTATGCCCCTCAGCTCCTGAATGATAAGCACAGTGGACACCTCGTTGGTAAGCTGGAGATTCCGGATTCTGCCTGTTTTGGGGAATAGGCTGCAGCAAATTCATCTGGACAAGCTTAGGGAAAAGGGTGGAGTAGGGTTCACCGATTGGTGTAAAGTTGGGCCTCCTAGGTGGTTCCCAGGGGCGAAAGTTATTTTGTGGTGGTCGGGGATTATATTGGTTCTGGTAAGGAGGTTGGTTTCTTTGGAATGGAGGTGGATTTCGGTTGGCTTGTGGTTGCGGTCGGCCGAAAGGTTGAGCATTCATGACCGCATAAGGTGGGGGAGCGTAGGCCATATCATTGTGAGAATAGTAGTGTTGAGGGGTTCTTTCGGAGAGCACCGGTCTATGATCCCGGTATCTTCTTCCTCCTGAACCTGCCATGACCGTTTCTTCTTTCTTTTTCCCTTTGGCCATTCCTCCAGACCCGCCTTGGATGGCTTGGGAGGTCACTCTTATGGCCAACTGGCTCAAGATTCTACCCGTTTTCAGACCATTTTCTACCATTTCCCCGATTTTAATTGCTTCTGCAAAAGGCTTTCCCATGGCCGACATCATATTCTGGAAGTAATCGGGCTCTTGGGCTTGCAGGAAGACAGTGACCATCTCTACCTCATCCATTTGAGGCTTCACTCTTGATGCCGCCTAATGGTCTTCTTTTGATCTCTAGTAGCATGTTCGGGGTACTCTTGTGTTTTCAAAAACCTCTTAATATCATGGTACCATGGCTGGACGTTTTGCCCTGCTTCAATTGCATTACAATAACCATGCCTTTCCCTGATTTGGTTTTCCAAGGGATCGATGTGGGCATTTCCTGGATAAGGCAACATCGAGGCTAAAGTAGCAAGTGCATCAGCTAGCTCATTGTGGCACCGAGGGATGTGCCTGAATTCTATCGATTTGAATCGTTTGCCGAGATCTTCCACATGCTACCGATCAGGAATAAGCTTGACATCTCGAGTTTCCCACTCTCCCTAGGCTTGCCGGATAATCAAATCTGCATTCCCCATGATCAATAAATCTTCAACATCTTGGCAATCGCCATATTCATGCCCATGATGCAAGCTTCATATTCAGCAGTATTGTTCGTGTAGAAGAACCGGAGCCTAGCTGTAGTCGGATAATGCTGACCAGTAGGTGAGATCAAGATTGTCCCAATCCCTACACCTTTGGCGTTCACTGCCCCATCGAAGAACATTTTCCAAGCATGAGTGTCCTCAGGGACTACTTCTATTGTGTTTACCTCTTCATCTGGAAAGTATGTGCTCAACGGTTGGTATTCTTCGTCAACCGGGTTTTCAGCCAAATGATTTGCCAACGCCTGGGCTTTCATTGCCGTGCGAGAGACGTAGACTATGTCAAATGCAGTGAGCAAGATTTGTCATTTTTCTAGTCTTCCAGTAGGCATCGGTTTCTAGAATATGTACTTCAAAGGATCCAACCTGGTTATGAGAGAAGTAGTATGAGCTTGAAGATAATGTCTCAACTTTTGAGCAACCCACGTCAAGGCACAACACGTTTTCTCCAACAAAGTATATTTGGCCTCGTAGCTAGTGAAATTCTTACTCAGATAGTAAATCGCCTGCTCTTTCTTGCCGGTTATATCATGTTGCCCGAGGACACAACCAAAAGAATTCTCCAACACTGTCAGATACAAGAAGAGAGGTCGGCCAGACTCTGGTGGGACCAAAACTGGAGGGTTCGACAGATATTCCTTGATTTTGTCGAAAGCCTCTTGACATTCAGATGTCCATTTGATTGCTGCGTCCTTCTTCAATAGCTTGAATATGGGCTCACATGTGGTAGTCAGTTGAGCAATGAACCGACTGATATAATTTAACCTGCCCAATAAACTCATCACGTCTTTCTTAGTTCTCAGAGGAGGTAGATCTCGGATAGCCTTTATCTTTGTTGGATCTAACTCGATACCTCTCCTGCTGACTATGAAGCCCAGAAGTTTGCCTNCGACCAAGCAAACACATCTTTAAACTCAAACATAAGTTGAATTATTGCATCCCACGTTTTCTCATAAGTGTGAATGCTTATTTTTGTTTCCCGAATTTCTTTAGAGGTTCCCAAATTAACCGGTTCTGTATCCTTCAAATTCGGCTTAGGTTTATTCTCAAATTGTTCCAGTTCTCGATTTATTTCCCTAAAAACCTCTTCTTCATCATATTCCGGTTCTTGGTTCATTATTTCACAATTAGACAACATGTTTGGATCTGGGCGTGAAGTCCGCAAGCATGTCATGTTATTTAAAGTCGCATTATTATAACTGAAAAGAAGAAATAAAAGAGAAAAAAATCAGAAAGAATAAAGAGAATAAACGATGAAATATTGATTTCATTTCTTGGAATTGGGAAGATAAAAGGGTTTACATTCAGGAATTTAAAGACAGGAAACTTAAAGAACAAACATCCGAGTTACACCATGTGATAACTCGTGATACAGAAAAAGTGGCAGGACAAGTCTACCCGGACTCCTGCCTGATCGGGAATTGCGTAGCCTTCCAATTTTGGAGTTTAGCATCTGGTCCCATGTAGAGCACCTCAGCAGTGCTAGTACCTTCCCCTAGCTGAACCATGTTGGTTTCATAAAGCATTTGCCTCATAGCTCCACATATATCTTCGATTTCTTCGGTCGTGAAGGCCTCATCATCTTCATTCTCGCTGTATTTTGGCTTGACAAAGGTCTGATATAGATGTGGCAATGGCTGTGGCAAGACCCATCCTTCCCTTTTCCTCTCATCTGCCCAATCTTCATCTTTTGGGGTAGGGTTTAAACCTATCCCGAAAAACTTTTCTGTTGTGGGTAGGGTTATTGGCTCCGATATTCTTTGTAGAGCTTTTCCCAATCCTTTTCCTGGCTTGAAACCATTTTTGACCATCTCTTTTGCCACCATGATCGAAGCATTAGATAGGAAAGGTTGGGGGCAAGGGATCCCTTCTTCATACTGATCCGCCACTACAACTTCGAAAGCCAGATAAACAATGTGTTCACTTCCCTCCCCAGCCTCCAAACATGGGATAGATGGGTCCCAATAAATAGACTGCTCGTCTTCTCCGTGGACCACAATTTTCTGATCTTCATACTCGAACTTTACCATTTGGTGAAGGGTGGAGGGCACAACCCCCACGGCATGGATCCAAGGCCTTCCTAGAAGAAAGTTGTAAGATGTATCCATGTCCAACACTTGGAAGGTCACCTCGAAATCCACTGGGCCTATGGTTAACACCAGATCTATCTCTCCAATGGTATCCCTTTTAATGCCATCAAAGGCTCTTACACAGATGTTATTGGGACGAATCCTTCCAGTCCCGATTTCCATTCTCTGTAGTGTAGAGAGTGGGCAAATGTCAACACCTGAACCCCCATCCACCATTACTCGCTTGACATAAAAACCTTCACACTTGACAGTCATATGTAAAGCTTTGTTGTGAGACGCTCCCTCTGGAGGCAAATCATTCTTACTAAAGGAAATTTGATTAACAGCAAAGAACCTTTCTGCCATTCTTTCGAGCTGTTCAACTGAAGTCTTAGCAGGCACATACGCCTCATTCAGAGTTTTCACTAGGATCTTCTGATGCTCGGCAGATCTCATTAACAAAGATAGCATAGACACTTGTTCAGGTTACTTGCATAACTGATCCACCACTTCATAATTAGGCATCTTCATTTTCTGGAAGAAAGCCTATGCCTCCTCAGCACTTACAGGCTTCTTGGGTGGAAAGCGCTTCTGTGTGGCATTGTTCACTTCTTGTACATCTGAATATTTCCCAGCGAAGGTATTTCCCGAAAGTTCTCCTGTGATTTCTTTCTCTTTGTATGTAACCAACGTCTGTTGATAATTCCATGGTACCGCAGACGGGTCCGTCATTAGCTTCTATGGCACGCGTCCAATAACCACTGGCTCATTTAGCCGAGGCGGTTTAATCATCCCCCGGACCACATAGGCTCCTTTTGGCACATACATTGGTGTTCCCTTTTTCACTTCAAATTTCTTTGGAATACCCACGACTAATGGCTTTTCTTGGGGACCTCGCGAAATATAGAGAACCCCATTTTTCGGAGGCGCCATCTCTGCCTTTGTTTCAACCTTCTTTTCAAGTTCAATCTTGACAGTTTTAGTCTTCTTTCCCCCTTTATCCTACTTCAGGGTTGCTTTAGGCTTTCTTTCTGCATCAGCAATAGCAATTATAGATTTCAAGGCGGGATCGAACTCTTTGTCTTCACAGATCATCCCGATTACCAGCCCGTTGTTATGAGCGGGCAATGGATTATTGGTCACCTTCGGGGCTTCTTCATCCCTCAACACTATTTTTCCTTGTTCAATCAAATTTTCCACAGCTTTCTTCAAGGTCCAGCAGTTATCAGTACTATGCCCCTCAGCTCCTGAATGATAAGCACAGTGGACACCTCGTTGGTAAGTTGGAGATTCCGGATTCTGCCTATTTTGGGGAATAGGCTGCAGCAAATTCATCTGGACAAGCTTAGGGAATAGGGTGGAGTAGGGTTCACCGATTGGTGTAAAGTTGGGCCTCCTGGGTGGTTCCCAGGGGCGAAAGTTATTTTGTGGTGGTCGGGGATTATATTGGTTCTGGTAAGGAGGTTGGTTTCTTTGGAATGGAGGTGGATTTCGGTTGGCTTGTGGTTGCGGTCGGCCGAAAGGTTGAGCATTCATGACCGCATAAGGTGGGGGAGCGTAGGCCATATCATTGTGAGAATAGTAGTGTTGAGGGGTTCTTTCGGAGAGCACCGGTCTATGATCCCGGTATCTTCTTCCTCCTGAACCTACCATGNGCCATGACCGTTTCTTCTTTCTTTTTCCCTTTGGCCATTCCTCCAGACCCGCCTTGGATGGCTTGGGAGGTCACTCTTATGGCCAACTGGCTCAAGATTCTACCCGTTTTCAGACCATTTTCTACCATTTCCCCGATTTTAATTGCTTCTGCAAAAGGCTTTCCCATGGCCGACATCATATTCTGGAAGTAATCGGGCTCTTGGGCTTGCAGGAAGACAGTGACCATCTCTACCTCATCCATTTGAGGCTTCACTCTTGATGCCGCCTAATGGTCTTCTTTTGATCTCTAGTAGCATGTTCGGGGTACTCTTGTGTTTTCAAAAACCTCTTAATATCATGGTACCATGGCTG